GATGGAGTGTTCTCTCGTTCCCCTTGTGATGTGGCAGCTTGACGTGGCTCCCCCTCCCTTCCTACCCCCCAAGACTGACTCACTTTCCTCCTCAATTTTCAGTCCCCTGCACCCTCAGCCCAACTTCCTTTTATTATCTGGGGGGAGGGGTGTGGACTTGCCAGTTTCCAAGGATACCGTCTGCAGTTGGACTTTGCGCGGCATGCCTCTGGTCCTGCCGCTGCAGACATCCCAGGTCTGGGGGGTCCCTACAGAGGGTCTGGAATGCCACCCATGTCTGTTTCAAAGCCTGTGAGTGCCAAGTGTGACAGTTCCCTGGATAGAAGCAGCCTGTGGCCTGTGAACCCAGACACACTAAGACCAAAAACAAAACAGCTCGCAGGCCTCTGATCACCTGTCCTCGCGAATAGCAGTCATACAGATTGCAGTTACCGTTGACGGGAGGATAAAATGAAATAAAGCTAGATACGGCTAAAAGAGGAGAATGAGTCCAGCCCTGTGCCACTAGTCACGTGAGGCTATTTTAATGTAAATTTAAGTTAATTAAAATTAAATAAAATTAAAACGTCAGCTTCTCAGTCGCGGGAGCCACATTTCAAGTGCTCAGTAGCTAGCCCTCCAAGGGCTGGTGGCTGCCATAAGGGACAGCAGAGATATAGAACATCTCCATCATCGTAGAAAGTTCTATTGGAAAGCCCAGCTCTGGCCACTGAGGAGACCTGGGTAGTCGGAGGAATTTTACCAACCTCAAAACACAGCCTCATTGTGGAATATTATTCAGCCTTAAAAAGGAAGGAAATTCCAGCACATATTATGAAACGGATGAACCTTGAAGACATTATTCTGAGTGAAAGAAGCCATACACGAAGGACAGATACTTATATGCAGTGCCAAGCATAGTCAGATTTATAGAGATAGAAAGTAGGATGGTGGTTGCCAAGGGCTGGAGGAGAGGAATGGGGAGTTAGTGTTTAATGGATATAGAGTTTCAGTGTGGGATGATGTAGAGGTTCTGGAGATGGAGGGTGGTGATGGTTGCACAACAGTGTACTTAATGCCGCTAAATTATACACTTAAAATAGTTGAAATGATCGATTTTATGTTATGTGTACTCAACACAAAAACACACACACAGTGTCAGTAAATAATGAACATTTTTCCCAAATAATTCTCAGAATAACATTCATTGTGGGCAGAGTGCAAGGAGGGGGCATTTCTTGTTGAGCCCCCAGTGCATCCCCACTTAACAGTTCACATACAACATTCATTTACACAACCCCCCTGCCCGGCAGACTGTGTCTGTCATTCTGCAGGTGGTGAATCAGACTCATCAGGCGAGGTCTCTCGCCAAGGACACACAGCCGGCCTGAGGAATCATTAGGATTAAACCCCAGGGCTGTCTGGTCCCCGGGGATAATGTCTGTGGTTAGAGTTTGCAACATTAAACCCAGGTCCGCTGCCTCAAATTAATAACACTTGGGGAGACACTTCAGCTCTTTGAGCTCCACTTATTTGGATAGAAGCAACTGAGGACACAGGGTGAGAGAGTAACTCTCTAAGACAGAGCTGTGAAGACCACGGGGAAATACAGTGCTGGGCAGGGCCTCTTTAGCCAGTGTGTACACATTCAGATAGGGGCTCAGCAGGAACCTGGGAGAGCGCATATAAGTGGGGTACAGTGGACAGATTACCTTTAAAAAAAAATAGTTCCCCTGAATGGTGTTCCAACACTGTCTTCACAAATAAAATTGAGAAGGAAAAAAAAAGATAGTGTTAGGTCAAACCTATAAATCTCTAAAAAGATGCTGCAGCTAAGATTGATTAATCACCCTGCCTTTAAAAAAGAAGCATGCTGTTTGCCTGTGCATGGAATATGAAACTTACCTGGTCCCAGGCTGATTTTTCATGTTCATGTGACACTCCGAAGCTGCCTAAGAGAGTGATCTTAGGGGAAAAGAATGGGATTTAGATTAAGATACCTGAACTGGCTGGACCACCACTTAGCTGTGTGACCTCAAACAGTTCATTGTGTCCTGCTCCCCAGTTTCTCCATCTGTGACATGGGGGTTGTCCATTGCTTTCACAGGATTATTATGAAGGACAGATAAAATCATACGTCTGAAAAGGATTAACTGTAAACAGTCAAACCAGTTAGCAGTGGTTACTAATTATTATTTAATATTAGTAATGTGAATATTATTAATCGGAGGTACTCAGCAAACATCTGAAGCTGCCCCCACTCCCAAGTTTCACTCAGATGCGTTCATTGGTCTAGCCAATTTTTATTGAGTGCCTACTATGTGCCAGCATTGAAAAGCTCCTGGATTCAAAAAGGGAAGCCTCCCTTTCCAGCAAGGCCCACTGTGGCCTCACCAGCTGCTGAATGATGTTGAACCAAGCATTTCCCCATCACCGCACAGCACAGAATAGGGGCCAGTTGGAAATCACAAATAAAACCACAGCCTCATGGGCAGCCCTTTAGGGTTGCCAGCCAAGCAGAGTCTGACCCTCCTACGCAGGGGTGTCACATAAAACAGTGCTAAGGAGGCAGGGAGCTCCAGCCTGGATAAATGGCCCTGTTTCCTGAGCGCTGGGGAGCAATCCTTTTTAATTGCCTTAGTAGCATCTCAGAGGCGGGTGAGGCAATGGCAGAGAAGCTGTGGGCTTCTGTCTCTGGCCCTGCCCCTTGCTGGCTGCAGGCCCATGGCAGATTTCTTCACTCCTCTGGACTTCAGTTCCCTGGATAGTAATGTCCACCTTGAATGGGGTATTCTGCAGATTTGGTGAGAGGATATGTCTAAAGAATCTAACCTGTGCTTGGCATGTAAACTTGTTTCTCTTCTCTCCCACTTCAGGTCTCTCCTCCCTCCCCCTACACTATAGCTGTGCTTACTTCTCCAGGCTATTCGAAGCTGCTTTTATGCTATCAGAGGGATACATCTTTTTTTTTTTAATTGAAGTATAGCTGATTTACAATGTTATGTTAGTTTTAGGTGTATAACATAGTGATTCAGTATTTTTGTAGATTGTACTCCACTATAGGTTATTACAAGGTAATGGCTATAATTCCCTGTGCTGTACAATATATCCTCATTACTTATCTATTTTATACATAGTAGTTACTATCTGTTAATCCTATACCCCTAATTTGTCCCTCCTGCCTTCCCTTTCGCCTTTGGTAGCTACAAGTTTGTTTTCTATGTCTGTGAGTCTGTTTCTGTTTTGCATAAACATTCATTTGTATTATTTTTTAGATTCCACATATAAGTGATACCGTATAGTATTTGTCTTTCTATGACTTATTTCACTAAGCATAATATTCTCTAGGTGCATCCGTGTTGCTGCAGATGGCAGAATTTCATTCTTTATGGCTAATATTCCATTGTATGTATGTATGTGTGTGTGTATATGTCTATGTGTATACACACACACACACACACCCCACATCTTTGTTTTTTTTCCTCTCGTGAATTTGTTTTTGTTGCTTCTTAATCCAGTTGTCTATTGATGGGCATTTGGATTGCTTCCATGTCTTCGCTATTGTAAATAGTGCTGCTATGAACGTTGGGGTGCACGTATCTTCTTCAGTATATACCCAGGAGTGGGATTGCTGGATCATATGGTAGTTCTATTTTTAGATTCTTGAGGAACCTCCATACTGTTCTCCATAGTGGCTGCATCAATTTACTTTCCCACCAACAGTGCACAAGGGTTCCGTTTTCTCCACATCCAGAGGGACACATCTTGAGTGCCAGAATGACTTTCTCCTTGAGGTAAAATGATGGGCGGGCCTCTCACATTCAGCCATCACTTCAGGAGGCTCAGGACTCCCTTTTCTTCTGCTTGAATCCTGGGCCCATATACTAATCAGGATGGGTTACGATATGCTGCTATGACAACTAGCCTCACTGTACACAGGGTTTATTTCTCACTAGGGCTACATGTCCATCAGAGGTTGTTGGGGGCTCTGGACCCTTGCTGGCAGAGAAGCAACACTCTGGAGCATGGCCATCACGTGGCAGATGGAAATGAAGAGTGGTGAAACAAGCACCAGTCCTAAGTCTTCCACCCCAAAGTGAGCCACGTCTCTCCTGCTCACAGTTAATTGGCCACGTCCCACTTCAAGGGGGTGGGGATGTACAAATCTACCAAGCGCTCAGGAGAAGAACCAGAAATCTGGTGACAGCATTTATGACCACACAGCCCAGCTTTAATCTGTAAAGCCATGTTGGCAGTTGGTATCATTATGGCCAACTAAGGATGAGGCCCGAGGTATGTCACTTCCCCCGACCGCAAGTAGCAGATCCTGGTGGCTTTGTATATCCAGTCAGATACTTCACATTTATTCCTTAAAATGTCAGAGAGGCATTTAACGTTATCAGAAAACATGAAAGGTTTTCGTTTTGGGTGCCCCATCCCTGTGCTTCCTCTAGCCTCACAGCAAGCCTGCACCTACCTCTCTAGATGCTTCCTACACCACCCTGCAATGACCATTCTACTTTTCAGTCTCTCTCTAGACACTGAATCTTTTCATCGCTGCACCCCATGTGCCTGACACAGAACCAGGCATGGAGCTGAGCCAGCCTGGGGAATTCTTAGTGGGGCAGGGGCGTGTCATGATCTCGCAGGTAATGATTAATTGAGTCTCCATAGTTTGTTCCTGAACACAGCCTGGCAGTTCTTAGGAAACAGGATGACCTGCCGTCTGTGGAATTCTGGGGGCTCTGGGGCTGTTGTTCACGCTTCAGGTCCTGTGGCTGGAGCGCCCGGGGGAACTGAGAATGGTCTCTCCCAGCTCTGAGCCTTCACTAGTCTGGCAGCTGTGGACCTAGAGGATTGTTTGCATGGATATCCTAGGTCCAGTTGACACTGCCTTCCCCATTAGTTTGGAAAGCTGAACAAAGTGAACTTTTATATATCGAATCACACAGTTCACACAATTCCTTTAAAATGTCAGAGATGCATTTATCAGGGTTTTTTTTGTTATTCTCCCCATTTAGATGCAGATGTTGGACAAATTTCCCATGGAAGGAGGACAGAAGGACCCCAAACAGCGGATCATTCCCTTTCTTCCAGGTAAGTGAGACACATGCTCTCAGATGGGGCCTCTGGGCTCCCAACACAGCTCTCAGGTCTCTCCCCTCCTCCTCCTTGAGGCATTGTCCCAGTGACCAGACCTTAGTCATTTGTTGAAATCAGTGCCTAAGGATATGGGCTTTGGAGTTAGAGGCTATGCTATTTACCAGCTGCTTGACCTTAGGCAAGACACTTCACTTCTGGGATCCTCGGTTTCTCCCATCTCTAAAATGAGAATAATTCAAGGTCATACAGTTTGTATAGTGAGTGGCATCTATTATAATGGCTACTGTATTTGTTTTCTTTCTTTCTTTTTTTTTAATTGGGGTATAGTTGTTTTACAATGTTGTGTTAGTTTCTACCATACAACAAAGTGGAGTTCCCTGTGCTATACAGCAGGTTATTAGTTATCTATTTTATACATATTAGTGCATACTTGTCAATCCCAATCTCCCAGTTCATCCCAGCCACCCCCCACCTCCTGTATTTGTTTAACAAATTACCACCCAGTTAGCAGCTTAAAAGGATACCCATTTATTATCTCACAGCTCTGTTGGTCGGAAGTCCAGGCAGGCTCAGCTGGGTTCTTTGTTTAGGGTCTTAAAAGACCAAAGTCAAGATCTTGAATGGACTGGGCACTTACCTGGAGGTTCTGGGGAAGAGTCTACTTCCAACCTCATTCAGGCTGTGGACAGAATTCAGCTCATTGCAGCTCTAGAACCCAGATACCTCTTTCCTTCCTGGCTGTCTGTTGGGAACCCCCTCAGCTTCCAGAGGCTACCTGTATTCCTCATCCATCTTCAATCTGGCAACAGGGCACTGAATCTCTCTCCCGTGCTTGGAATCTCTGACCTCCCCTCCTGCCACCAGCTGGAGAAAGCTGTCTGCTTTTAAAGGCTCATGTGATTACCTTGTACCCACTTGGCTAATCCAGGATAATCTCCCTCTCTTGAAATGAACTGAGGCATATCATATAACATGGAGTGAGATTCCATTGTATTCACAGGCTCTGAGATTAAGGTGGGACATCTTTGGGGGGCCATTTAAGAAATTCTGCCTGCCTGCATACCTGCCTGAGTGGGCCAAGCACCTTCTGAGTGTCAGGCACTGTGGAGGAGTTAATGCAACCATGGCTGGTCCCTGCTCTCAAGACATTCAGTGTCCCCTTCCCCCCAAAAAAAATTCTTACCAAAGGAATAATGTCAAGGCTTCAACTCAAAAAACTGGGTTACCCAAACCAATGTTATAGCTTCAACTAATAATAGCTACCATTTATTAGATCTCTGTTGTGGGCCAGTCACTGGGCTAAGTGCTTTACATTCATTAGCTTGTTTAATCCTTAGAACAATCCTGAAGGGCAGCCATTACTATGCCCATTTCACAGGTGAGGAAATTGAGGCTCCAAGAAATTATCATCACTTGCATAAATGGCAGAGCTGGGATTCAGTCACAGGTATGGCAGGCTCAGAATTCATGCCCAAAGTCAGACAGCCCAGGTTCAAATCCCAGTGCCCCTAATCATCTACTCTGTTCCCTTGGGTAAATTACTTAAGCACATGGAGTTTCATTTCTACATTTGCACATTGGAGATCATAGTTGTTCTTAAATGATAGAGTTGTTAGGGGGATTAGGTAAGTGCCTGGTATGTAACTAGCAGCAATTAAGCACTTCCTAGTATCTTTATGTACAGGTAATCGGCAAATTGGCAATCACCCTAAATTACAAATATTTAGAGCTGGCCAGCCCTTTAAATCTTTTTCGTAATGCAGACAAGGGGGCAGGCACTGAGATGGATCACCCAGGGGCCCATTCTCCCCTCCCCCACTGCAGGATTCTGCAATCAGCACTTCGTGTCATCATTGAGTGAGCTTAGAGACAGGGTAGATGTATTTGCCAGGCCCCCATTTACCGGGAGATCATTGGCCTAAAAAAACCTCATGTTTTTAGTTCTTCCACGGGGAGAGAACACTGGAATTTTTTTCCTTATTGGAGGAGAGCCGGTATGCCAGCTGCAGTAGCCACATCTCAGCACCTGAAGCATGTGCTTTGGAGTTCAACAGGCCCAGTCCTGTGACCTCCAGCATACGACATCTCCCCCCCACCTTTGAGCCTCAGTTTCTCATGTGTAACATGGGACAGTGACCCCCTGCTTCACAAGCTTCTCTCCCTGGCACATGGAAGGTTCTCAGTAAAGGCAGAAACAGGGTCCTGGGACATTCCTTTGGAATTTTGGGGCCTTTCATGTCTTGGAGTCCTACTTAAATGATCAATCTGGAGATTTAAGTTGAAATGGGCTCTAAATGTATATTTTTCTTCAAGGAAAAAAAGGAAAGCAGTGAGTTATAACTCTTTGCTGGTGAAAGGCAAAACCAGCTGTGGAAAAACTTCCCAGGACAGGGAAGAACTTGAGCCGACCCTCTCCCCAGCCCCTGAAAGCTTTCATGGTTACGTAATCCTTTTCCACCCACGAATTCATGAAAATGCTGTTCTCAGGGACTTGGCTCCGTTGTCCCTGCTCAGGACACCCACTTGTAGCTTGGAGAGGCCCCCTTGGGCCCTAAGACCCCTGGAGCATCCCTTCCCAGCCCACCTCTTAGCTTTTCCTTGAGGCCGAGACCAAGGGCAGGGACGGGTGGGAGAAACGTCCCCTCTCCTAGGGGTCAGTTTTCTGCCAAGACTGCCACGTCAGCAGAACAAAAGCGAGTTTCATGTTAGCACAAAGGCCGAGAGGGGGGCGGGTGCGGGGAGAGCAGCCCTGTGCAATTTTCCATCCCAGCAAGAGCTGGGGAAGCCAACTTGGCAAAGGATGCGGCTTGAAAAATAAGAATTACAGTTTGGCCTTCCTCCACTGTGGAAAACAAAAGCCTGCTCGTTCCCACCAAAGGCTGTTCTCTCCTCTGATCACCCTTCCCATTCCAGGAAGGCTGGCCTGAGGGGAGGGCTGGGTGCGGGCTCCCTAGCCCTCCTTCTCCGTGACTCACACAGAAGCTTCACAGCAAGCAGCAGATCCGCATTTCACCTGGAGGCACCGACCAGGGGGACGCTGGCCGCTCTGTTCTGCCCCACAGCCCAGGGCCTGAGCGGTAACTCCACTCCGCTGTGCTGTGGATAAATGATGAATTAGCCTGTCAGAAGCAGGTCTTAAGAAACCAAGTTAGGGGTTGAGGACAGGAGAGGTGCTCTTCCTTGTAGAATATAAGGCAGTATCATGTAACCTATTTTTTAAACAAAGTAATTACCCTTTTTTAAGCACCTAGGGAGGGCCAAGCCCTGTACTGGTGTATCACGGAGATGACGACTAAGAGATAGGGGCTGCTCTCCCATTTTACAGATGAGGAGACTGAGGCTCTGCCAGGTAAATGCATTTCCCAAGGCAGCACAGGAAGGAATAGACCCCCTGGGATTGGCTTGGGGCCTCACTGACCCTGTGGAGCCTGTGGCCTCCCCGGCACGTGCTACTCCTGCCGAGGGGACTTCCTGTCCCCACTGCTGGCAGGGCACCTGACATGTGCCCAGAGACTCACTGAGGCCACACAGGAAGAGGAGTGACATTATTGTGCCACACCCCCAGGAGACGTTGAAGGCGCCTGAGTTCTTTTTTTGTTTTGTTTTTTTAACGTCTTTATTGGAGTATAATTGCTTTACAATGGTGTGTTAGTTTCTGCTTTATAACGAAGTGAATCAGTTATACATATACATATGCTCCCATATCTCTTGCCTCTTGCGTCTCCCTCCCTCCCACCCTCCCTATCCCACCCCTCTAGGTGGTCAGAAAGCACCGAGCTGATCTCCCTGTGCTATGCGGCTGCTTCCCACCAGCTATCTATTTTACATTTGGTAGTGTATATATGTCCATGCCACTCTCACTTTGTCCCAGCTTACCCTTCCCCTTCCCCATATCCTCAAGTCCATTCTCTAGTAGGTCTGTGTCTTTATTCCCATGCCTGAGTTCTTGGTCCTCTCCTAGCCCCTGCAGGCCGGGCCTCGGGCAAATTCTCTTGGGCCGTGGTGGCTCTGAGGTGGCCCTGTGCCAGGGCGGTGCTAGCACCATGCCCTTTGTAAATTTTTCGCGTCAGGTCACAGCCTTCTCAGTAAGAGACCTGTAGACCCCTCTCTGCACCCTTCCTCTGATTTTATAGAAGGGAAAATTATACCAAAGTGGGACCAAAATGTTTTTGGTAGGCACCAAAATGTTGTTGGTAGGCACCCCTTCTCCCATTTTGAGAAATAGATTAGAGGGCAGGAAGCGTTTGCTATGTAGGATTTCTCTTCACAGGCACACACTTCTTATTTTTCCTGAAGGTTCAGGATTCTCCTAGGAATTCTCATCTTCAAGTGGTCCCACCCATGAGGGTGGTGATTATTACTCCCACCCAGGGAAGGACTGCCCCACCCAGAATGTCAGCAGGGGCCCTCCCTGTTGGAAAGCACTAGTGCCAGGAAGGCAGGCCCCCAGGGCCTGTGCACAGAGGGCTCACACAGAGCCTGCACCTAGGGAGTGAATGAGGGAATATCATCGGCTCTAGGGAGGCCAGGTTGTAAACTCCTTCCCACTTCGCTGCATAATTTGCTTTTTTCGTTTTAAATGACATGAACATTTTCTGATTCCCAAAGCAATCAATATTTATAGTAGGCACTTTGCAGAAAGTATAAAGAAGAACACAAAAAGGCTTTGTCTTCTACCCTCGGAGACAAGCACTATGAACCCTGTGAAGCATTTTCTTCTAGATTTTTTTCTCTTCTAACAAGTGCGGTGTATCAGAAATTTGACTCACTCATCAGAATTAAACCCATCACCATTATAAAGAAAGGAGATCCTTGTTATTAAGGAATATAAGGAATATGTATTTCATCTCATTGTGGGTTCTTTTTTAATTAAATGGAAATGAACAAAAAAAGGATTTCTATTTAGGTTGACCATATCTACTTCATTTCCTGATTGTGCCTTTTTGCCCAAGAGCACGTTGTCAGATTATTTTAAATGTGATCTTAACCATATGGTCTTTTTGGGTACAAATCTCCCTGACCACCTTGCATTGCAAATCTTTAAAAGTCAATAGGCTGTTTCCCATCATCCCTTTCGATTCTGTCCTATGATGAAAACTCTTTATGGGCCTTTCCTACCGTCTTGTCCCTGCTCACCCAAGGTTGACCCATGGAGACAGCAGTCTCACCAGCACCATCTCAGATGAGTGGTTAACCTCTCCTCACCCTGCCAGCCTCGTAACCCAAATTCTTCTCCAGGACCTACCTCCTTGGACCAGAAGTAGGTGAAGTTCTTAGTAGGTCTCCATGCTCTGCAGTCTGGAGAGCTGTGGTCTCCCTGTGCATTCCTTTTTGACCCCTAGAGACCTCCTGGTCGCCCCGCATGAGCATGGCAGGGGGGCTTGTCTCCATCCCCCACCTCTTTGTCGCTCCTTGATGTCTTATTTCTGATTTTCCAGCCCCTGCCTCTGTGACAGATCCAGAATGGTGTGGCCATGCTGTCTGGATCCTCAGTGCACGAGCTTGGCCACCATCTCCCCATGAGAGGACCTCCTTTAAGACTCTCGGGAACCCGCTGATTTGCTTGAAACAAACCTCACCCATAATGTTTCAGCATCTTGGGTATTTCCTGAGACCCTCGGTGGCATCATTTATATACTTGTCTTTGCCTGTGACCCATGTCCTCTGCCCATACGTCACACTGGAGGTTCTGGTACCACACCCCAGGGCTCAGATGTCACCCGGCAAGTAGTGAATGGGCTGTTAGCATTCGGTGTGGTAGGAGGGCTTGGAGCCCTCTGTTACAAACACTTATTGGCGAAGGAATTGAAGGGATTTGTCGCCCTGGCAGGTAGAATCCACCTTCATGCATTGATCCGACGTGAGTGCCATGTGGCAGGGGCAAAAAGTTGACTAAAGCCGAGTTAGTCCCTATTTGGGCGGAGCCCCATGACTAGTAGGAAGGAAGAGGACATGTAAATCGACAATGTGATGTGTACAATCAGAGACAGGAACTCTTTTTTTTTTTTTTTTTGATTTTATTGAAGTATAGTTGATTTACAATGTTGTGTTAATTTCTGCTGTACAGCAAAGTGACTCAGTTATACATATATATATTCTTTTTCATATTCTTTTCCGTTATGGTTTATCACAGGATATCGAATGTAGTTCCCTGTGCTATATAATAGGACCCTATTGTTTATCCATCCTATATATACTAGTTTGCCTCTGCTAATCCTAAACTCCCAATATTTACCGCCCCCCCCCCACCCTTTGGCAACCGCAAGTCTGTTCTGAAAGAGATAGGAACTCTTAACCCATTTGAAGTGTGTAAGAGTTTCCCAGCAGGGGTAGTGGGTGGGGAAGGTATTCCAGGCAGAGGGAAAGGCACAGAATTAGGAGAGAGCATGGAGTATTGGGAAAACATCAGACTAGAGCAGAAGGTATACAAAGAAATAGGAGGGAGGGGGACTGAGCTGTTGGGTGAGGGCATATCTGAGTGTTCGCTGAACTGCTCACCGCATCTGATAATCTTAAGGTTGGACAGGGGGCCTCCGATCATCAGGTCTTCCTTCCTTGGTTTGATTTCAGCCTCCCTTATCTCACCAAAACTTACCCACTGAGCCCCACTCCCTCAAGCCCTTGCACTAGAGCTGTGAACAGGGAGGGCTTTGGAGGACCAAGCATGGGGTCATCCAGGCCCTGTGGATGTCCGGCAGCCAGGAATTTAGGTACCACTCAGGCCTACCAGAGGCGGCCACATCCTCATTCTCCCAGGTTGCTGAGAGCTTGTCAATGCTCCCTTACAACGCTGTATGCGCTCTCATCTCCTGCAGGCAAAATTCTCTTCCGACGGAGCCACATTCGGGACGTGGCTGTCAAACGCTTGATACCAATCGATGAATACTGTAAGGTAAGTCTGAGAAATGCCAACACTTCCCTGTGTCTCGTGTCTTCCCCGTGGGTAGTTTTGGGGTTTTTTTGTTTGTTTGTTTGTTTGTTTTCCTTTTCTGACTACAGGATGCCCATTGTGAAAGATCTGTACGGGTGAAAAAAATATAAAGAAATTAGAAAAACCAATCACCCGTGATCCTTCAACTCAGAGGCAACAACTGTGAAGGTTTTTGCATATTTCCTTTCTCTCCTTTCTCTCTGCATGCATTTCTTTATGGTATTGAGATCATCCCATATGTGTTATTTTTGTTGCTCTTTCTCTTTTCTCTCATATTAAAAGAATTTCCCCATGCTATTAAAAAAAACTTCTTGAACCTGCTTTTAATGGTTGCATAGTATTCCATTGTGCATGAATGTTCTAGAAGTTATTCAGCCAACCCCTGTTGGACAGTGCAGCTGGCTTCCAATCCCTTAAATGTTCTCAACCACAAGGGGCCTCCCTGCCTTTTGGTTATGTTTTGTTTGATTTGAGGCTGAGATCAAGAAAGAAGCATATTTTTCTTTTGTTTAGCTTCCCTACTCTTTAGTATTTATTCCTCTAACTTAAAATCACTAGCAGTTTGATTGGAGAAGGGTAGGAATAGAAAAAATGCCTTAACAATGGAGCAGTGAATGCTTTCTCCCCCTAAGATCAGGAGCAAAAGCAAAGTATATTTGCTCTCTCCACCTCTGATCTACATTTTACTGGAGATTCTAGCTGGTGTAAGCAGGCAAGAAAAAGGAATAAAAGGCACACAGATTAGAAGGGACTGCCTTGATTCACAGATGACCTGACTCTACTGTAGAAAAGCATGAGGAGTCCACAAAAAAACCTGCTAGAACTTATAAATGAGCTTCGTGAGATTACAGGATTCAAGACAAATATTAAAAAATCAATTGTATTTCTATCTACTAGTAGGGAACAACCCAAAAATGAAATTAAGAAAATAATTCCACTCACAATAGCATCAAAAAGAATAAAATAATTAGGAATAAATTTAATAAAAGAAGTACAAAGTTTATACACTGAAACTACAAAACGTGGTTGAGGGACGTTAAAGAAACTCTAAATGAATGGAGAGACATTCCATACTCATGGATTAGGAGACTCAATAGTGTTAAATTGGCAATTCACCCCCAGTTGACACAGAGTCAATGCAATCTCTGCCAAAATCTTAGTAGGCTTTTTCGTAGAAATGAACGAGCTGATCCTAAAGTGTATGGGCTCAGAATAGCCAAAACAATTTGGAAAAAGAACAAAATTAGAGAACAAAATTGTACTACCCATTTTCCAAACTTCTTCTGAAGCTACAGTAATCAAGACTGTAGTACTGGTGTAGCACTTCCCTGGTGGTGCAGTGGTTAAGAATCCACCTGCCAGGGGCTTCCCTGGTGGCGCAGTGGTTGAGAATCTGCCTGCTAATGCAGGGGACACGGGTTCGAGCCCTGGTCTGGGAGGATCCCACATGCCGCGGAGCAACTAGGCCCGTGAGCCACAACTACTGAGCCTGCGCGTCTGGAGCCTGTGCTCCGCAACAAGAGAGGCCGCGATAGTGAGAGGCCCGCGCACCGCGATGAAGAGTGGCCCCCGCTTGCCACAACTAGAGAAAGCCCTCGCACAGAAACGAAGACCCAACACAGCAAAAATAAATAAATTAATTAATAAACTCCTACCCCCAACATCTTCTTTAAAAAAAAAAAAGAATCCACCTGCCAATGCAGGGGACATGGGTTAGATTCCTGGTCGGGAAGATCCCACATGCTGCAGAGCAACTAAACGCATGTGCCACAACTACTGAGCCTGCGAGCCACAACTGCTGAGCCCACGTGCCACAACTACTGAAGCCTGCGCACCTAGAGCCCATGCTCCGCGCAAGAGAAGCCACCGCAATAAGAAGCCTGTGCACCGCAACAAAGAGTATCCCCCCTCACTGCAACTAGAGAAAGCCCGTGCACAGCAATGAAGACCTGACACAGACAAAAATAAATAAGTAAATTATTTATTTATTTATTGGGGGGAGAAAGAAAAGACTGTGGTACTGGTGTAAGGATAGGCAGATGGACCACTTGAAGAGAACTGAGAGTCTAGAAGTAAACTCTTCAGATTTATACTCAACTGATTTTCAACAAAGGTGCCAAGAAATTCAATGGGAAAGGGTAGTCTTTTTAACAAATGATGGGATCATGGGATATCCATATGCCAAAAAATAAAGAATAAATTTTTAAAATTGGACTGTGACCTCACACCATGCATAAAAAATCAGCTCAACTCAAAATAGATCATAGACCTAAATATAAAAGCTAAAACTATAAAACTTCTAGAAGAAAACATAAAAGAATCTTCATGACCTTGGTTTAGGCAAAGAGTCTTAGATATAACACCAAAAGAGAAAAATTGGTATGTTCGACTTCAATAAGCTTACACATTTCTGTGCTTCAAAAGATGTCATGAAGAAAATGAAGACATGCCACAGATTAGGAGAAAATATTTGTAAGTCATATATCTGAGAAAGGACTTGTGTTGAGACTATATAAACAACTCTTACAACTCAAAAATAGAAAGACAACCCCAGTTTAAAAATAGACAAAAGAGGGCTTCCCTGGTGGCGCAGTGGTTGAGAGTCCGCCTGCCGATGCAGGGGACACGGGTTCATGCCCCGGTCCGGGAAGATCCCACATGCCGCGGAGCGGCTGGGCCCGTGAGCCGTGGCCGCTGAGCCTGCGCGTCCGGAGCCTGTGCTCCGCAACGGGAGAGGCCACAGCAGTGAGAGACCCGCGTACTGCAAAAAATAATAATAATTAAAAAAATAAAAATAGACAAAAGATTGAATAGAAACTTCACCCATGAAGACACACAATGCTTAATAAGCACACAAAAAGTTGTTCAACATCATTAATCATCAGGGCAATGAAAGATATTGCTGAGATGCCTACACAGCCTCCAGAATGGCTGTAATCAACAAGACACACAAGGGGTGGGGATGTGAGAGAAAGCGGAGCTCTTCATTCTGCTGGAGACATATGATGGAAACCACTTTGGGAAGACAGTATGGCAGTTTCTTCAAAAGTGAAATGTATCATACGATTACTCTCAGGTACATACTCACAAGAAGTGAAAACTGTCCACACAAAGAATTGGATGCAATTGTTCATGGCGGCATTAATTCGAAATAGCCCCAAATTGGAAGCAATCCATATGTCTAGCATCTGGAGAATAGATAAAGAAAATGTGGAACAGGCATATGATAGAATACTGTTCAACAGTGAAATACTGATTAAGGCCGCAAGATGAATGAATCTCAGAAACATGATGCCAGATGCAAAAGACTGTATGTTGTATGATTCCATTTACGTGAAATGTGCAGAAAAGGCAAATCTAGAGAAAGCAGGTCAGTGGTTTCCTGGGCCTTGGGGCAGTGGAAATGGAGATGGACTGCAAATGAGGTTGGGGACATTTTTGAGGTGATGGAAAAGTTCTAAAACTAGAATGTGGTGATGGTTGCCCAACTCTATAATTTGAATTTGAATCATTGAATTGTGTACTTCTAATGGGTGGATTTTATGGTGCATAAATTATACTTCAGTAAGTCTGTAGAAAAAGTTTGAAGGGGGAAAGTGTGGGGATAGACGCCCCTCTCTTGGCAGGAAATGTCATGGAAGGGCAGAAAATCACTCCTGATTGAGCATCTTCTCTTTACCAGACATGACCACATTTCATCCCTCTGATAACATGGAGGACGTGTTCTTTTTCCCTTTGTGTTGATGAGGAAATGGAGGTCCAACAAGGTTACTCACAATAATAGTATTCGAGACTTTGAGAGATGAACCCAACCCTTTTAGGACTTGGCACTCGCATACCACTTACGGCCTCTCTATGAAAGTACAAATTCAAGAGGCCAAAATAGTTAAGCATGTGTTTCCTAGAAGCAGTTAGACTCAGGCTCTTCTCTCTCCTAAGGATACCCTTAAAAAAGGGATGGCGGGCTTCCCTGGTGGCGCAGTGGTTGGGAGTCCGCCTGCCGATGCTGGGGACACGGGTTCGTGCCCCGGTCCGGGAAGATCCCACATGCCACGGAGCGGCTGGGCCCGTGAGCCATGGCCGCTGGGCCTGCACGTCCGGAGCCTGTGCTCCGCAGCGGGAGAGGCCACAACAGTGAGAGGCCCGCGTACCACCAAAAAAAAAAAAAAAAAAAAAAAAGGGATGGCGGTGAGGGGCGGGGCTCGTCACTCAGGCACAAAGACACCACTGCTGCCTCCCAGATCTCAGAGGAAAGTTCAGATCTTTGCTCTTTGTCCTTTTCCAAACCTCTAGAGCCTAAAATTCCTTTGTCCAGGCCCTGCTGGCAAGAACTTTGAACCCTTGCGGTCACCTTAGCCAGCTGGCAAGTTCCACCTGGTACCTTCCCAGAAACCTCAGCCCAAGTGTGCTCTCCTGCTTCTTCCCCAGCCCACCCAACTTCTCTCCAGTCACACCCTCCTCTCACGCAGGGCTTCCCGAACCCCTGGACATTTGATTTGGAAAAGGAAATATAAAATCTTGGAGGGATAAGGGACAGCAGCAGCTGCCTGTATCTGGCTATGCTTGGAATGGTCCAGAGATCATGAATTGACCTGGATTAACCACAGGGAAGAAACTGCTTATGTTACCTTATGTTACATGAGCCGCATGCAAGTTACCACCCCTGCTATTAATGCATCATAAGAAGCAGAGCAGTTATTTGGGGGTTTTAGTTGGCCAGATTCCCTGGGCTTAGCTTCAAGGGTACTGCCCTCCTGGAAGGAGATGAAACCATCCCTTTTGTTACAAGGCCTGTGAAGTCTTTTAGAGACTGCATAGACCTTTATGTAACATTCGGTCTCTGTTATTGACATTGTTGTGAGCTGACTTAAGCCGATCTGATCTATCACTGTCAGCCTTATCTTGGTAGAAATTGGTAGTTTCCAATAGGTAAAGATAGAGGAAGGCTGTAGATGTCCCCA